CGGCCGAACGCGGCGCTGCCGCCCGCCTGCACGGGCCGGGCCTAGCCCCAGCCCCAGCGCGGGGCTGGGCAGCTGCCCCTCCCTGTCCCCTCCAGAGCAGCCCGGCTCCAGCTGCTGCTTTTTGACTTGTCAGCCGGGCTCCAAAAAAGAAAGAGCCAACTCGGGTTCTCCAGGCAGATGTGTGGTGGGGAGGCACAGCTCCTGGGGTAAATCCGATTATGTGGTGGGGGGAGAGAGCAGGGGAAGTCATAAGAGAAGTAGGGCTCCTCAAGAGGGATGGGACCTCAAGACGAAGGACCAGAGGGCTCTTGGTGTGGGGTTGGGAGGGGGGAAATTTGGGGTACCCTGACTATAAAATGAATTATGCATTTGTGGCTAGGAGGAAAAACAAACAAACACAATAGGTGCTTTTAAAGGGCCTGGAAAAGGGGTTTTACAACTTTGCTGCATGCATTTGCCTCTGAAAGTCTTAATCAGACTTTACTCCCAGTGTTTTTATGCTTTTTTTCTTTTTTTTTTAAATAAAACTAGGTTTGTGCCTTAGACTAACCAAAGTGTATGTGAGAGCATCTTTGGCACTGCATAAGGGGTGTTTGTGTGTGTTGGAGAGGGGTATGGAAGGGGAGTGCATGTGTGCTTGTGTGCACATGCAGGGGGGGACCTGCAGGGCAGAGGGAGCTGCCACCTGAGGCAGCCCTTTATACGCTGTTGGACCCAGTGTGTAGTTGGGAGAGACCCTTGGTCCGATAAAAGGAACTACAAAAAACAAACAAGCGCAAACTATAGCTCTCTCACGCATGTCCTGGGCTGTCACAGCGACAGCAGCACTCCGACTCCTCATCATAGCAAAATCTTTCAGTCTGCTTTGCTAGTCTGAAGGAAGGCAGGATAGATTTGTACCTTACAGAGAAACCAAAGTGTGTGTGTGTGTGATATGCATGCATGTGGGGGGGGGAACCTGGAAGGTGGGCTGCCCTCAATCTGTGCCACTTGAATACACACACACACATTGTATGTATGTGTGTGTGTATATACATACACATATATACACATATACACATATATACACACATGCACACACAGAGCACACAAGCTTTCCTGAGCTGAAGCTCATATCTATATCTTTATCTATATCTAGATCTATCTACTTTGGTTAGCCAGTAGGGTGCAAATCTACCCTGAATTCAACTTGACTTAAGGCTAACACCGCTAAGAATGCCTCTGTGTAAGTCTGAAGGTAGGGTAGAGATGCATAAGCTTTCGTGAGTCCAAGCTCTCTTCATGAGAGATTTATTTCAGGTGACACTGGATCAGTCGCAGATGCAGTGTTGAGTAGTATATTTTCAGAGAGAACGTAGTTCTTTGTGTTTAAACAGCGAAGTTTAATTTAAAACCAGCAACACTGGTGCTGAATAACATAAAGATGACTGGCAGAATTTTTTTTAATTGTTGTACGTAATAATTCTAGTTGTATCTTTGTTCCCTCTGCTTCTCTGCTTGTTCAATTGTGAATAAAAAACAACAAACAAAATGACTGCCTCGCTGTGCAGTTTATGACACACAACTTAAGACTACCTTCCATACCAAAAGTACTTTGAGGCTCTTCTTAGGTAGACTTACACATTGTTGTGGCAGATGTTACATAAATACAGGTTTGCATGATAGGTGAATGAAATATTATGCTCTGTACTTGTCATACTTAGTACTGGAAGATTTTTTTTAAACAAAAGTAAAACCTAAAGATTTTGTTAAATCTGGGCAAGTATATTGGATCATGATCTGAATTGACTTTCAACCTGTCAAAGGCTCCCAGCAGCGCTTATAGATACATAGATTCATAGATGTTAGGGTCGGAAGGGACCTCAATAGATCATTGAGTCCGACCCCCTGCATAGGCAGGAAAGA